AAGGTTTGTATGTATATACATATTGCACCCGTGCGAAGCCGGGGCGGGTTGCTAGTATAAATAAAATAAAAGGATTATTGTTTCATATCTAATGTTTTTATAGAACTCAAATATAATTATTAAAATAAAACACAACAATAAAAAAATGAAAACAACAAAAAATCTAACTAAATACAAGTTTATCTTGAACCCGTCCATCTTGTTTGAGATCAACACATTGAGTCACTTAGTAACGGGACGCTACGGACTCGGAATTCCTTTATTTTTGCAAGCACCATGCATGGCACAAGTTGGCACGGTGCTACTACGTCATAGCCTGTCACTGTAGTCTGTACAGTCTCTTTTTGTTGTAAAGGAACATGTTTATTAGTCTGTTGATACCCACCGAGAACGATAATGTTTGTTGATTAAAAATAACTTCCTTACTTATTTTCATCATTTCAAGATGTTGTTAAGTATGACTATTTCTCTATTTTTTTTTAAGGGGGGAATATCATCGAATTTCTTCTCCCGCCTGGGTGAGGCAGGAGGAAGTTTTTTTTATGGAATAGGAAGTAAACGAGCAGACGCATCACGGAGTGTCAGACTCTTACTCACTAAAAATTGTATGGAACTCGAAGTCTTTTTGAACCTATTGTTTTCTTATATAAGTTTTGTTTTTTATGTGACTGTTTGTTTCCTAAATAATATAAAATAAATAAATAAAAACCACCACGTTCCTACTCCTGCACTTCGAGCCGGAGTCCCGGTAACCCGTTAAGTTCTCTGCGGCTCCGTATCGGCATCAGCCCTATTGGGCCCCATCCGTGGTGGTGTGATGGCTCTTTGAGGCGCGCGCGGTACGCGACGCACCGTACGCTCGGGTACGGTCGGCTCTAAGATGGGTCTGTGCCAAATAAATGATTTTTATACTAGATCCTCTTCATTCTATTGTTAATTTCATAGCATTTTGTTTGTTGTTAACATAAATGTTAAGATATCTTATCTAAATTGCTGGAATGATTTTAATGAATTGCCTCATCGATTTCAATCGCGACAGATAACCTGAAAAGTAGAAGGAGATGAAGAAAAAAAGGGATACAAGGCTTTTTTTAAATGCCCATTATTATTTTTAAACTTCAAAAACAGTCAACAAGGGGAACATTATTTAAAACGCAAATTCAATTAAAGTTACAATTATACAAATTAGAAACACGATACGCAGAAACAAATGACTGCACTTTGTACGGAGCCACAATACAAGTACCAACTATACTTACGTCCTGAACACGATAACGACATGAAATGACTAATTTAAGTATACCTACTTTATGACAAGTAAACACTTATGTCCTATCAGTACTTATAATCCACTTGAGATGCATGTCCAAATGAATTAGGGATGCAATCAATGTATGGTACCATCATCACCTTGGGATTGGGACTATGGGTATTCTGATTCTCTCTACATAAAAGAGGTTTGTTTTAATATCCTCAGGAATAACTTACTTTAACACATACATATTTATAATTAAACAAGAATATTCCACCCTGTTGTGTGTCGTATTGGATTTTATCGTTAACTGTGCAATTACATTCAATAAATCAAATGATATTGACGGCCACACACGTAACTGTACCTACTTAATACGCTCTTAAAGAATGTTTTATGAATGTTTTTTTCCATCGAGTCATATTTGGATTTTTTCCTTCTTCAAATTGTAGTCATTATAGGATCACATAATAGGAGAAAACTGACTACAGACAACGACATGACACTGTCCTTGAAAACAGATTTTATCAACTCAAATGAGTCGAGCGAAGACAAGCGTATTGGATTTACATCGTGACTTCATTGTGGACAAACGGACACAGAATACAGATAACAAACGGATAACATGTTTTCAAAAAACGTGCGAATTTGCTTATAACATTCATATAACTGGTATTTTACAGGTTTTAAGGAGCAAACAATGATTATGCAAGAATACTGCACTTTCACAACCACCCTTGTGTAAACTACGCCTTTTACTTGTCAAAAGCGAATGAGAAAAAAATCGAAAGTGCTCAGTGGATAGCAACGATGGAAAGGTGATAATTAATACTAGTAATTCATACTTAGTTAGATCACGTACTCACACGTCATTCGGTGCGCGGACGGCGGGCGACGAATCACAATCAGACGTTTGAAGAATATCCTTGCGCAGGAGTCGAAAGCTAATGTTTGAGTACATTTTGCAAGACAATGATCGTAACCGCGATCGTAACGGACGATGTCCTGCGCATACTTTATTTGGTGTTTAATGTGTTTAGTTTTGTAGCTAACTAGTTTTCAAGCGCGGTTTTACTCATTTAGAACCTCAGATTACAAAATACGTGGTCTTTCTATTCGATTCTTTCATCTATCTTTTTCATCCCATCGTTTTAGCAGTTTAGGCCAAACAAGCAGACATTCGGATTAGCATGGAATCAGGACGAGCTATTGTGCCAAGAATTATGTGATAACTGTCTTCGGGTTTATTCTTTTCGTGTATCGAGTTACATTTCATTATGAATTCCAATTTTGTATGAACTTCTAGTTAATAGTTATTTTATTAATAAGCGTATCTTGTTGCGAACTTTGCTCTCAGCTTGACATGGATTGAGGCATCTACCTCGGTGGTTAATGAACCCGTGGAATAGGTACACGAGGAAAAGTTATCGGTACTGTAAGGACAAACAAAGTCGTGTCAAAATGTTGTTTATAAAAAGGGGAAGTTTCTTCTTTTTGTTTGGAAAAATGGTCATTTGAAGGCTGTTAAGAATTAAGTCTGAAATCAAATTAAAAATACGTGAGTACTTGTTTAGTTAAGCTTCTAATATCATTGTGAAAGAAATCCGGTTCAGTTATAGCACCAGACAATTAAAAAATTTAAAAATCTACAGCCTTGATTATATTTCCCCGTATTAAAAACATTGTCATCACTTCTTTAAAAAAAAAAAGATGTTTTTGTTTACTAAACGAACTTTTATAGACCATTCGGTTCGACCGGAGTGATACCACGGCCTCACAGAATACCGATGTGAAGCAACGCTTGCGTTGTGTTTCGTCGTGCGAGTGAGGTTGCCGGAGACCCAATTACCCTCCCCTTCCCCAATCTCCCCAATTCCTGAATCCCCAACGATCCTCAAACTTCTAATCCCCAAAAGGCCGGTAACGCACTTGTAACGCCTCTGGTGTTCCAGGTGTTCAAGGGCGACGCCGATTGCATACCATCAGGTGATCCGTCTGCTCGTTTACCGGCTTATGCCATAAAAAAAGTCCTGATATTTATTTAAAAAAGCAGAAAGTGATCAGAAAATAAAGTTGAGTAAAACTAATTCTCTCATATAAAACCTTGTTTTCAAATTGGATAATCGGTAAACATTTACAGCCTATTTTCAAGACCTTAATGATGAAATCGTCATCTTCTTGAACCTCGCATCATGTATGTATCTGTGCCTAAGGACAGTCGAAGCATGTCACCATTGAATGAAGACATTCACCTAATTACACATAGAGCCTCCATGATTTCCTCTAGATTGCATAAGCTTAAGTAATTTTAAAATTCATTAAGACCTAATTAGTAACAATATTCCAAGTCCAACTATTATGTCGCGGAGAACCTAACGGGTTACCGAGGCTCCGGCTCGACGTGCAGGAGAAGGAACGGGGTGGTTTTTAGTCCGTAAGAGTCTGACACTTCCTCCCGCCTCACCCAGGCGGGAGCAGTCATTCGATGATTTTCCCCCTTAAAAAAAGTCCAACTATTACAATTATGAATATGAAAGTCATTAATAGTCCTAATTTGCCACAGAACATATAAAGGAGGATAGAACGGCCTTGGGGGCGGTACACGCGTGCCGCGGTTATGAGCAAATGCTCCAAATCTACCAAAATGTCAAAAACCGGCCATCAAACGCAATGTTGTTGTGACAGCGTACGAAACTCCGCAAATAATATTAAATTATGCCGTCTTGGACTATTGTAATGT